GGCGGTCACAAGATATAACAATAAGAAAATATTAAACCGTAAACTTACTTTCAGTAGATATGAAGTTGATAAACTACCAACAACTTAAAAAATGTGAAGATATCGTAAGTAAACAACCTGGGAATATATACTTGCTACATATTAAGAATCTAAGTATAGAACAGATTTCCAAATTCTGTCACATCTTTGTTTATATATAAATGTTCATATATATCTTTAACGTTTATTTTACTTATCATTGTATTTATCATTATAATCACTGTAATTTAATTGTTGTAACGGTTATTCATTTGTTTGAATGCAACAGTTTCCATATTGTTTGCTCTTGGTTCGAGTTTCGGTTGTTCATAAACTGTTATCAAATTTAGACACAGCTATGGGCTGTCTTTGGACTATCGAAGCCTTTGCTATTTTCATTCTTGAAGGACGCGTTTAAACGCCTAGACACCTCACAAGTTGAGAACCGCTGTTGTAGACAAATCGTTGTTTTGGAACTTCGATTTTGCGTGTATCTCAATCGGGGTTATTTGGACGCTTCGATAGAATTAACAACATGAAACTCAACATCTGATTGAACTTCTAATAAAAGTGCACAGAATGAAATTATCCACTAGCCGTTATCTCATTGTAGTGAAGGATCTATGATGTCTGTATGTAATTAGTGGATGTGTTATTCAGTAAATAATTAGATATTCTCCAAACATGTTTCTAGATAATAGTGATATTACAATGACGAGATAAGTTTGTTCATTCAAATGATTTTGATTTTAGACAAATTCTTAGAAACAGACTAAATTGTTTCATGAAATTCATTTATGTAATTAATTCATAAAACTATTAATTAGTTAAGGACAAGCAGAAATAATGAGGAATATTTGTCTACAATGAACATTGCGAAGTGATGTCCGATAGGCGGAAACTATTAACTAAAAAACTAAATTGTCAAGATAGTTATAACTGTTATTCTAAATTAGGTTAATTATAATATGCGAGTCGACATTCAACTTTATCTGACTGTTGTAATCAAATAATGGCAAGCCAGATAGATTTGTTATCAGGGAAAATATAAATAAAATCCAAATGTCTAATTCAATATTTATGAGGAAGTCTGTTGTTATTCGACTGAATGTACTAATAAATGAGAATTCGATTACATGTGTTTTTCCATTGCAATAATAATTCTAATAATCTCTATTATTACGTAGTACAGACAGACACATTTTAGTCTACACTATACTTGCTTATCAATTTCGGAAGCTTTTATGCAGACCAAAAACTCCAATGAGCTATTGATCATTTCATCAGTGGAGAAACATGGATCTATTCCCAAATATGTTGTATACACATATACTCATTGAATTCAGATGTCAGAAACATTCGAGTGATAAACACCTAGGCATAGATGGGCACGGTTGTTAGCATGTATTACATGCAATCATAGGATGTGCAGATATATCGAATCATCTCAAAATTACACATAGGTGTAGAAGTTTCCGTTAGCAATTTCACGTTACATGCACATATAGAACGCACAATCCGAGCACCATGAACTCTCTAAAAAATATGTATATATGTGTATATGCAATCACCCCAATTCATAACCTAGCAGTTTTTCCACTGAATGAATATCAAGTACGCAGATTAGTATTTTAATTAATCGTCGAACTTTTCTTTCTCTATCCAATATACTCCAACATAAAGTATGCTGTTTATGAAAGACTAGAACATATTACATTAGTCAATGACACAATATGTAATATAAAACAAAAGTATTTATCAAAAATCCAAACTCTCGGTATTTAGAAAAATGTTAAAAGTTCACTCATGCACTTTCATGAGAAGAAAATACGGATTATATTCTAAAATTAATTCAAATATTGATCAGTTGAGCGAGGTCTTGTTAGATATTTTCAATGACAATGAAAACCATCAGATAAGCAGTTTGTAAACCAAACAAATTATGATAAAATGAATGGTAAATGTAGTGAAATAATAATTTACTTTTTATTACTGATATTTACTGGGACCACAGTAAGTAAATATTAGCAATTAGCGAGGATTTGTTGAATACAATTTTCGAGCTTCCTTAGGATTCTTGTTCGAATGTCAGCATCCTCGGTTGAATGCAGGTCATAGACAAGTACTAGGCATTCAAACTGGTATTCTTTCATGGATAACAACTTTAACCTCTCATATTCTCAGTTCATAATTCCCGAATATTTCACCCAGTCATCGTCTGATTGTTTCATTTTCGTCAAGTATTTGTAGAGGATATTAAATAGAGATGGCTGTTCTCCAGCGATTTGAGACAGGGTTTTGATTGATACATCAAAAATAAAGTTTCGTGGGTTCTTTGGGAGAATAAATTTATTATAGCGTTCATGTTCCGACACCAGAAGAAGGGTTTCGCTGGGACAGACACATTTTCTACATACGGGCTCCCATCGTTCTGATTTGAGACTGTTCAAACAGCTTCTCTTGGCGCACCATATAGAATTCTGGTTACTCCAAAAAATGTTTATTGTAGTTTTTCCCGTTGCTACTGATAAACCTTCTCAATGAACGCTAGATTTGGTTCCGGAGCCCTTCTAGTAAACCCCAGGCTAGATTTACACAGCAACCTGAACACGAGAGAAAAGGCGCAAAACATGGCAGAAAAAACTCTTTACTCCTAAGGTTCGTTTATTTACAGAAATTCCAGGGTATCTATAGTATTTTAGATGGCCCTGGGTTTACGGAAAATTTTGGAACGCTACCAAAGATAGTAGCAGTATAAGTAATCATCCAATTAGAACCTCGACATGTGATTATTCACTTTCTAGACGTTTCAGGTAAAACATCTAGGGAATATTGATGGGATAGATGCTTCTGCGTTTTCAAGGCCTTTATTTGGCTTTTCTAGGGGAGCTTTCTGGATCATCCCAACATATTGATATATACTTGAGACCACAGTAAGTAAATATTAGCAATTAGCGAGGGTTTGTTGAACACAAAACAGTAACCATTAACATAAATGAATTCGTGATAAATATTAAACCTGATTGAAGGTGAACATGTGAGCCACTGGATGTAAGCTAAGTGGTCTAGAGGTTAGATGTTTGCACGGCACACCGAGGTTCCTGCTTCCTATTCATAACAGTGAAATGGTGGATGCGTAAAGTCTTAATTTAGAAAAAAACATAGCTTTTCAGTGCTTCTTAATATTTAATGATTGTACAACGAAAATCAGTCTGTGATTCGGAAACTCAAAAATCCTCACGATCCTCCTACGTTAGTCAAGACTATTAACCAAAAAAATTAAATTGTCAAGATAATTATAATATGCGAGTCGACATTCAACTTTATCTGACTGTTGTAGTCAAATAATGGCAAGCCAGATAGATTTGTTATCAGGGAAAATATAAATAAAATCCAAATGTCTAATTCAATATTTATGAGGAAGTCTGTTAATATTCGACTGAATGTACTAATAAATGAGAATTCGATTACATGTGTTTTTCCATTGCAATAATAATTCTAATAATCTCTATTATTACGTAGTACAGACGGACACATTTTAGTCTACACTATACTTTCTTATCAATTTCTGAAGCTTTTATGCAGACCAAAAACTCCGATGAGCTATTGATCATTTCATCAGTGGAGAAACATGGATCTATTCCCAAATATGTTGTATACACATATACTCATTGAATTCAGATGTCAGAAACATTCGAGTGATAAACACCTAGGCATAGATGGGCACGGTTGCTAGCATGTATTACATGCAATCATAGGATGTGCAGATATATCCAATCATCTCAAAATTACACATAGGTGTAGAAGTTTTCGTTAGCAATTTCACGTTACATGCACATATAGAACGTATACGCCGCGCCACATACATTCCACTACAAAAAATATCGATTAACATCAATGAATTCGTGATAAATATTAAACCTCCATCCTAAGTGTTTTAACATCATAAAAGTTATACGCATACTAAATACTCTATAATGTAACTCATTATCTGAAAAATAACTTCAAAATATGCATTCAGATACCATTGTTTAGCATATTGTAATATTACCATTATTATGTAACACACTTAATGATTTCGGGTTCATACTATCGAGCTGTATTTTGTAAGTACTCAGTGCAATGAAAATACCAAACCATGAATTGAAGATCGAGTAGATTACGTTTTTATTCAGTATGAAAATGTAATAACAGACATATTCGATCCAGACATTTTCATCCAAGAAGAAACAGCAAAGCTGAGGAAATTGGGTTTCCAATTAAATAGTTATTCTTCTGGTGAAGGTAGAAGGGATTGAAATAGTCATAAGATATGTTTTGAAGTGAACGACTTGATACTAAATACGTCTCATGACATTATGCACAAAACGTTGATATCACGGAATGCAGGATTGTCAAACAATCCTTTTGGTAACCTCTGCATATATTGATATCTATCATAGTGAATTATTGATTGAAAAGCAAAAAAGCACATATGCTCAATGGTTGCATTGGAATAGTAAAATTCCATGTCGTACTTTCAAAATATCGTTGTTGACTACTTCAATTAGTTCACTGAAGCGTTTTAGAAATCAATTCGAAAAGGAATAATGATTTCGAGGTATTTTCTCTACAAACACCGCTTAACATTGCATCAATATTCAGTTCTTAAGTTTTACAGGAAATCATAATGGTACGAATTATGATACGGTTCGACGGACAACCATAGCGACTTAATGATTACAAATAATCTGTGCATTGGATAGAATGACAGTGTATTGATCAGATCGCAATGAGTAGAAAATCAAATTACTCACGTTAATAAAAATACCTGTAAAAGGTGTTTCAATTATATATGAGTTTCGATCTTTCCTACCATTTACTTGTTTATTGACTTGAGTTACCTCAATATAAAGTGGCAAGCAATATAAATGATTCAATCACAATCATGCCGGAGTCAATTATCAAGCATCAAAAATTCTACTGTTATTCTTGCTTTGAATTTATTGAAACAAGTTTGTTAAAGTAAACACGTAAAGTTTATCCTCCCTTATAAGAGTTTTTAAAATACAAGGAAAATGGAAACAATTATTATGATATTTTAAACTTACGTTCTTAGTTGAATTATTTTCTGTTAACAAGTAATCCACAGAACATGGTTCCGTCATTAGTTTACCAGTATTAGTTATCAGGATAGTATAAGTCGCTGTTGTATAAGGTGGAACACTCAGTTCAACATTAAAGAATTGCAACTTTTCAGCTTGATTCACGATTGAGGTATCCTTTAATGTCAAGTTACTTTTCCCAGCCTATTCGTTAAAAAGAAGGTTAGCATGATTTGTGCTGACAACTTACCAAATTAGAACCTGCAAATGCTATGAGTTGGCTCTCACAAAAATTCACTGTAGAATTCTTACCTAATGGTGAGATTTTCGCTTCAAACATAACGGATACCAAACTTGGTTTATATATCTGGATAAAAACTGTTAGACGAACTGATCGATTCATCATTGGCAAAGTAGTGTCATAAACACCTAAAATATATTTTAAATTAAATGTGAATATGTACATATGAATATAAAATAAGAATTGCTCGTTCCAATAACTCGGAAAAGAAATATTCAAAGAAATATGAAAACAAGATCATTTTGTGAAAGAATGCTTGTCATTGGGATTTATAAGAGTAAATCGCGAATGTTCCCTAATAAATATAATGGAAAATAATAGTTTATATTTGCAGCTTTCTAACACGACAGTTAGATATTTATGAAAAAAATGAGACCGATGAAAGCTAAAAGATAGTCAACTAAACGCAATTATATGCTTCATAGATGTAAGAGATCTAATGGTGAGCAATGTTAGTAACCGTGAATATACTAAGGTCATTATCTTCCAGTCTGACTAAGAACACTGAAAGGTAGCTGCAAGATATCAAGAATTGATTGAAGGTTAGCATGTGAGCCACTGGATGTAAGCTAAGTGGTCTAGAGGTTAGATTTTGCACGGCACACCGAGGTTCCTGGTTCCTATTCATAACAGTGAAATGGTGGATGCGTACTGGCGAGAAGTCTTAATTTAGAAAAAAAACATAGCTTTCCAGTGCCTCTTAATATTTAATGATTGTTCAACGAAGATCCGTCTATGATTCGACTCAGCAGTCCACTGTCTTTTAACATCACTTTTAAAAAATAATGAATTTTATGTTATTGGACAATTTTGTACATAAGATTTCAAGACGTCTTGATGGTACTTTCAAAATTACCTAAGTCAGGAATGAAGAAACTAAACAGTAAATACGTGTTCAAAGTGGTTTCCTGAAAAACTGAAATCCTGTTCGTCTCACTTTTAGTTACCTTCTTTAGCAAACTAACAACTATATCGAAATCACAGTTTTCTCTATTCCTTTGCTCTTACATAAATCGGAGAATGTTGTTCAGCTTATACTACTATATTTAATAGCAGTAAATGTACTATTGTAACTATGACTTATCAAAGATCTTTATTTCTCCTCTCGGAAAATATTTAAGACATTTCAAACTAAATTGAGAGATCTCTCGCTTCCTGTCGTAGTATCAAAATGAAAGAAATCATGTTTTTTGATTTATCTAACCAAAACTGTTTATTTCTCGTTTCTTAGTGATTACCCTGAAAGTTACGCCATCATCTATGTGAATAATAGCAACACTCTAAGCCTAACATATTTTCGGCAGTGGACATTTTCATTGCTCGTCACACATAGTATTTGAATTTCGTGCTGAAATTCAGTTTTGATTGACTTGTCCCTAATGTATACTTTTACTGAAACCATCGTCGTAATTACTTTTTGAATGGAGTTTTCCATATTACTCTCATTCCATTTTCTGATTGACCTCCATTGCTTTTAGTTAGCTAAACTTCTATAGTCTTAACGGTCATCTTTTTGTTCCCAAATATTACAGAGTTAAGTGAAATCATAACCTTGAACCACGTATACTAGTTCAATTCACGTAAGCCTCAACAAAGCATACTATGAATATATTAATTAATTTTTGTTCAGGAAATAAGTTGGGCAAAAGATATTTGATTTCAATGGACAGCTTGATGATAAGTGAAGTGCACAAAGTTTAAAAAATAACAACAAAATAAAAAGTATCTTCGTTGGTCTAAACAAGTTAGTAACTATTTGATAGTGGTTAAATTCGACTATTGATCACAACCCGGTCAAACCATACTATTTTTTTCTATTGAATTTTACTATGACAATAGGAGATAGCTATAAACTTGCGAAATCAGATATCAGGTGTCTCGCAGTGTGAATAAATCTATAGTGATTCCATGATAAGCAGCGTAGAAGAACTATCGTGTGTTTTTGAGCAGAATGACGACAACACATTTTAGAAATTCTCCTAATAGAAGTTTGGAAGTTTTAAGACAAATCTATTACAAAATAAAGTAGTGTTACAAGTAGCAGGATTATTCAGAATTTAAATGCAATCACACAAAAGTAAATTTATCTGATAATGAAATGTATAACAATCTGCCAGCAGATATCATTTGGCCAGTAGCAATTGCTTTTCATTTGTAAACTGATATATAATGTTGGTATGAAGCTCAATTATCAGGTCTCGATTTCATTGAGAGAACTGTGAAATCCGTATCATACAGGAGCTTATATTTGAAGTGACTTCTACGTATGCTCATTTTTGTGGTCGATATTCTTATATGTAGACATTTACCTTTTCGTAAAACAAATCTTTTTCTTCTTTCCATTAGTATTGTCTTCACTTGGAGATTCGTGTCAATAATCTGATCTCGTATTCAGCAAAAACAAAGACTGAAGTAACAACACGTTTATCCATTGGTTTATTTGCAATTATCAACCGAGCATTGTTCATAAGATGATTATCAGTAAAATATATCTTAAAATCAATGGTTTTTCGGAATACGACTTCTGGAAACAAATATTTTTATCCATCTTGGATAACAATGTATTCAGCTTCTATCATCTTCATTCCTCTTAATCACTCCATCTTTATGCACATTGGATTGTTCACAACATCTCTTGTCATTTCAGTTCAGTAATAAATATCTTTGGTACGAAGAAATTTGTCATACCATTACACTACATGTGTCAAATTTAATAACTTTTTGAAGTAAAACAGCCGAACACTCTCCAATTTATGACTGGGCAAGACAGAATAAACACTGAGCTTATTCAAATTCATCATCAACAGTTGAAAATGTTTTATGCACGGATTTGTCTATGCACAAATGTTGTCACCAAATATATGTGGTTGTTAAGAATTGATTAGTAACATCACTTTGACGAATCCATCATACTGACCAGTAAAAAAGTGAATCATCGAAAAAATATTAACAGAGAAATAATTATCAAAAGGTTCAGGTGAGCCTGAAATGATTATTCATGGAAGATATCTATAATGCATAACACCGAAATGAGAGTAGCAGAATAAGTGCCTAAAATCATATCATCCACTGCCCTAATGACATGCAATATGAAAATTCAATACTTGTGTAAATAAGTATCATAAAATGGAAAGGCGCTTGTTATTGTCTTGACAAGTGTATACTTAATTCCATAAACATGCATACAGGAAAAGATGTAATCTTTCGAAAATACAATATTTAGGAGTACCACGTTTTGAGCATCGTGGTTGGTTGTGAAACATCAGGAACTCAGTGTTATAAGACACAGCTAGACTGAACATAACTGTTAATATATGATACAGTTAACAATATACATGGTTTATACTGAAACGGAGTGTTTAATGTTATAAATCATTATACGGTGAACTTACCTGGATTCTGTAGATTTGAAACGCTAACGTAGCCAATGGTAGTCAGTACGAAGGTACCACCAACGAATTGTTGCGTATCTATTTTGTAACCTTCTGGGTATGTAGAGAATGTTGTAGGTAGCGTCAAAGATATATGTCCAATCGAAGCACTAAACTCATCAGTAGTGAATGTGAACTATCAAACAATTTATTAGGAAACAACAGTAAGTATGTTTCTGCACGTAGTTTTAAGGAAATAAATGCGTAATTTTTTGTATTGGGTGAACATACAAAAGTAAAGTGTTTATATTCAGATATACCAACTTAATGTCCTGCAACTTTATGATGGATATTTAAATGTACTCTATTAATTTTGTCTGAACATGGATGATCTCAGATGTTGTAGAAGTTGTTTCGTTATCATATTGAATAATTACCTTGTTCGTATTGTATTGGTTAGTTAAAAATGAGTTACACTTTATTTGTTCAAGTAATTAATAGTATGTGAAACATTGATGTGGTATATTTATATGCTGGCTGATGACTGTTTGCTCTTCGTTTCACTACTGAACCATGGTAATCATTTTACTTCAGTGAATCATGGAACTCATCTTGGACATCATTAAGTGACACTATTACTACCAGTGAGAATGAATTTTTAGAGTTCCTGTTTAAAATCTGTGAATTTCTATTCTATCTAAACAGCCGTTTAGAACTAAAATAACTTCTAATTATTGGGTGCCTCAGTTAAATCATGTTGACTATGAAAAATGATCACCTATCGTTTTTACATCACATCTGCTTGACTAGCCAGCACTAAATATTGGCGTTTAACGTTTATACACGGTCAGCTCCTTAAACAATTTATTGTATAATATGTAAAGTGGTCGAAGCCAGACAAGAACGAATAGTTAAATCTAGAGCCCATATATCTTATTCTAGCTCTCGAACATTCCATTCTATTCAGTCAAACAAACAGTCTTGGTTACTGATTTTTGTGAACAGATTTTTTACTGGCAGTTAAAACCTGGAAACTTCCAGAAATTATTTAACACATCACAACGAACAACCTCTAGTGACAGGAATCAAGAGGTGTCATATGTATATTTACTTGTACATTCCTTGTTACACATACATTTACAATCTCTAACAGAAAATGCTGTAAACAGTAAAATTAATCAAGCTACATTCATATCCTTACCGAGGAATTATTGTTCAAGTATGTGAGATTACTAAACTTCACAAGATAATTATTTGCTATATTTGAACCGTTGTAGTGAGCAAACAAATATTGTATATATCCGTAATAGACATTATTTAGAGACGGGCCAGAAAATTTCATGATCAAACTATTATTTCCAGGTGGAAGGACAATTACCGAATCAATAAACCATGTATCGAATAGACAATAATTTCGATTATTCTGGATGTATACTCTGGAAAATGTGACATTGATAGTATTCGGTGGAACTATGACGCCCTATAAAGAAGAAAAAATGACATTACTCATCTGAGAACCTCAAATCATAATTAATTTGGATAGTACATATCGTGGTTCTATATCTTACTGTGCATATTTGATGAATCGTATCACAACGTCCTGATAAAAACACTATCTGATTTCATTAACATCGGAATCATTAAATCGAATTCATTAATGAATAATGGTTGCAATTTTAAAAGCCACATTGTTTTGTAGGATAAGTGACTGTGAAATACATACAAATTCAAAGACAATTATGCCTACTTATAATTCTTACTACTACCATAATTTTAAATAGTTTTCATTTTTGACAAAAATGATTACTCGTAGCGTTTTATGAGAGTTTGACGTTCATCTGATTTGTAGAATGTTTCCAGTGGTAACATACCCCTAATCGTGTTCATATTCTGCTGTTGTTGTTGTTGTTGTTGCTGTTTGAACATCAAGGCTCAGAACTGTGAGATAAAATTTGAAGAACCTTTGATCATATTGCTATGCTTGTTTCAAAGAAACAGGTTACTACAGTGTCAATTGAAACAAGTCATGAATCTCTTTCAGTGACGGCTTACCAATTGTAAAATCAATGACAAAAACTGCAGTTTAATTTTTTAAAAATACTACAATGAACAGAGATCATACCCTTTTGACTGCAGTGATTTCACTTTCTGTTTCTTCTTCAGAATAATTTTCATCAATTAAAATGTTGACCGTTGCATCATCAGATATATTTAGTGAAGTATTTGCATTCCTAACTGTCACTTGAAAAGTGATGGTGTGATTATTCTTCATTGTTTCATAATCACTTTCAATTGCTTTCAAAATACCAGTTGTTCCATCGATAGCTACTGGTAAGTAGTTTGAACCAGGTACAATGTTGAATTGAACACTTCCACACGATGCTAAGGAGGAGTTTTCATCACTCTGAGAAAGACTACCAATCAGACTTCCATTGATCCAGTTAGAAAACTTGGTTTCGAAGGTGAATACTGTCTGAGTGAATTTTGGAATTCTATGCACTAAAATGGTAAGCATGTAATCTCTACAAAGTTAATATTTCACAATATATATGAACCAGAAACGTATTATGAATCATGGAATGGACAATATTTCTTCAACTGTAACCAATGCACAATACAAATGATTGAACGTTTTTACAAATAGATGATTCAATTCATGAATAAATTTTGTTTAATTTAACCAACTGACGATTTTCCATGATTTCTTATAACGAGATGTGCAGTAAATTTGACTACAAGCTTATCAATAAATGTGAATTGTTATCCATTCAGTGTAATGTTTATTTCTTATACAAGTAATGTAGTTAATGAAGAACTCAGATGTGGAAGACCAATTTATTGTTCAATGCAAAATTACAGAGCTTTTCCATGAAATGAGAAAACCATACATTGAACACTTCATTTCCAAATCCTACATCAATCATCCCTACATCATTGATGATTCCTCCATTTCTCAATGACTTCATTCTTTCCTATTCCGTTTTATTCAGTGCTATCTTCTCAAGCGTCTTTTGACAGACATTCAACTTCTGATCGCTTTATATACTACTTATGTCAACAGGTTTAAGTAGAATACACCTTATGAGCTTCAGATAAGTCTTTACTATCATCTTGATAAGGAAATGATAGAATGTAACCAAATATTTATAAAACCGAACAGAAAATTGTCTTGTTATTAGTAATATTAGCTAGTTAAACCATAAATGACTGACTTACCTCGTTCTTCACAGGTTGTCCCGATCCAACATGTATTACATATACACGTTCCATTAATGCAGTGACCATTAACACAGCTCCTAAACAGAAGGATTGGGCATTGAGGTATTATCCACACAAATAACTAAGAGTTTGTAGATAAGTGAAATTTGTTATGCATGTTTCAATAACTTTAGTCTTAGTGCGTGAAACCGACTTGCGAAGGAAAACATTGTGATGCTAATGAAAATCAGTTATTTGAGTTTGAAGATGAGATGTCAAGGTGTATACTTTGTACAACAAACTATTATCGGTACATAAGCTAAATATACCAAAATTTGTACTATTTGGATATGACCTGGTCATCCTAAAATCGTAATTTAATGAATATCTCTGCACAGTTTAGTACTTCGACAAGTTTATCCGTCTTGCGAATTTGGTAAATCAAAACTAAGAGTAAAGAGCTTTGAATATTATTTCAATACGAAATCGCTGACTGTATTTACTAGACAATCAACAACAGACGATTAAGATCCTCGGTTTGTTCATTCGGTTCAACCATAAACGAAACCGAAAATAATGTCAATAATTAGCACGAAATTCTTGAGAAGTGTGCTCAGCTTACTTTTAACTACCATTCTTATACGCAATTGGTGTGATATTTCAAACAAATAGAAGCGTCAGCAAACATGCTTATATCAAGATAACGCATTCGCATTAATGGATGACTAAAGATCAACTAAGTTCCACCCTTATTTTAGACAGTCTAAATATTTTAAATTTAATTTTTGTATATTACTGAACAGTTTTCGCACTTACCAAAAATATTGAAAGTATCAAAATCAACAGTCAGTGAAACTATGGATACACTATTTCGAGAAACTTTATCTTCAGCACTGTCTTTCATTGAACGTCATATTGAAAGTTATATCATTCAACTGAAATGTCCTCAGGACAATACTCTTAATTAGTTTAGAACCGTCATTTAAACTAATTAAGTCGAGACGTGTTTAGTAGTTCTGATTACTTTCATCTTTTCTATGGGCTTTCCATGTGTTAGCTTCTAGAGGTGATACTTTTCTCATTTGATTTGTTATCAAGTAGTTGTCTGTCTTTAGGCTCAGTTACTGATTTAAATAGACTGAGAATATGTTTATGGTTAGTTTGCACAGTAATAATTTGCAGTTTAGTTCACGTATATCAAATGGTAGAACGAACGTGTTTGGAACGTGGTATTGGTACCGAAGATTGAAGATATTGCTCTACTACTTGTTTGTAGCATAGTTTAATTTGACTGTGATTATAGTTGACCGCTTTCTCTATCGTTTTTTTCAAATTAGCTCAATTGGCTTAGTGGTTGTGAACTCTAGACATAAATAGTTAGTAACTGATGTCTATACTGATACCACAAACGAAATAAATGTCTTGTCACTGCTCAGTACAAACAATTATACCACATTTCGTGTTACTTATGTACCTAGATCACACAGAAAGTTATAAGTTGGTTGAAGATAGGTAACACTGATTGTGTGTTGTTCGGGGCTTGCCAGCAGCTAAGTAAACCATAGATTTAGGTCACCACTAAGAACTAAGATTAATATTGTCCGACAGGCCATTTTTTTTTAAAAAAAACCCCACCTCAATAAAAAAATTTTCACCCCAAAATTACAATATTTTTCATCCCGTGTTTCGTCCAATGAAATGGCTAGTTTCAAAAGTTAGATTTAATTGGTTAGTTATGTCTTGAAAATTGCTATAAATTATCAGTACTTGTTGACGAAGCACAATTTCAATCGTCATTATGGAGCAGACTAACGTGCCGAGCACAGACGCTGGTGTTTCTCACATAACAGAAATGGAGGAAGTCTTTTTGACTACCATGTTTCTGGTTGCGTTTCCATCGGTTGAAGCGTTAAAGACCACTATCACAAATTTTGAAAGATTGACTTACAGTCATTATGTAGTGAGAGATTCGCATATTGGCAGAGATCAAAAATCGTACATTAAATTTGTGTGTTGGCGAAATGGGCGTATAAGATCTAGCGGTTCGTCACAACGTATTAGACGGAGGAGGTAATTTGGTAAATGCTTCTATAATTTTTTTAACGAAGGGCTTCTATGAACACCCAATGTCCGGCCTCCATGTTTTGTAAGATTATAGACGGCTATTGGACTGTTGTACGTGGATATGTACATCACAATCACGAGTGAAATTCCCTGAGGTACCAAGGTAATTCATGGGTGCGCAGGTTAACGGATGAAGAGTTTGAAACTGTGAGACCGCTGCTGATTTCCGGTACCGCTGCATTCCACATAAAGAATTTTGCTTACCAATCTTATGAGAAACGTCTGACTGATCAAGATGTCTGTAATATGCGGTACAAAGTGTTCTCACACGCGAACCTTCCTGGTACGCAATTCGCCAATTTATAATGTACACTATAGGTGATTACGGGAAATTAAAAGCTCACATAACATCCTTGGGTGGGCTTTGCGAATACGAATTGGACGATGAGAACTGTCTATCGTATTTCTTCTTCATGACTGCTGAGCAATTGAATTTGGCCGGTCACTTTTGTGACGTAATTGGTTTTGACGGAACATACAAAACCAATAAAGAGAACGTCCATTTATATCAAATCGTTGCCCTGGATATGAATTTTAAGGCAATACCCATGTGCATTGCCTTTTTAAGTCGCGAAACGTCGACATTCATTTCTGCGTTCCTGCGTTTTTTCCAACGGTGTACCAACAGTCGACAGCTGGTAGGCATTGTGACCGATGATTCACCTGCAATTGCTGCTGCTATTACGCAGGTGTATCCGGATGCACACCATATTCTGTGTCGCGTACACCTTGTTCGGAATGTGATAAAGAGGGTAAGTGTTTGGCTCATTAACATTAACTCAGTAACCGTTATTGTAGAGGGTGCGATCAGAAATTGTACAACTGTTCTTTCGCCTGATGTTCACTCGAACGGTTGAAAGGTAAATCAAAATCTACATAACATGATTTTGTAGTTTTAACAACGTACTTTCGTTAATCGAAATGTCTGACGGAACGTTTGGAAGATACGTCAGAGACCAACTTCTACCACGAAAACACAAATGGTCCACTGCTTTTCGACCGCCATCCACTCTCTTTGAACTGAACAATACGAACTTCGTCGAGACCAGTCACCGAGTCTTGAAGATGTATCACCTTAATAGAAAAACACCGGTTCTCAGATCCATTTTCAATGTGCTACTTCGTACATACATGATATTGACGATTATTCGGTAACCAATCAGTGTAAACAGATGACTGCAAATGAACAATATTAACAAGAAAGTAATGATACATAACTGATGTCGACTGAATATATTTTGTTACTTATCTTCTGATTCCTGTTTATTAATAAACCTCTAATCAACCAAAGACACTTAAAGAGAATCATATAAATATTTATTGCCATCACGACATTAATATTCTTTCAACAGACTTACAATGAATTATTTTCACACCATTTTGTGGATTGTTCAAATGATCCATGAACTACTGAATGAAATATATTAGTTTAAACCTAAACAATCATTCATCAACTTACAAACAGTATGAATCAGTATAATGATCAAATCTGTTGAAATTCTTGGATAGACGATCATTATGTATGAATGTGAAAATGTAAGTAAAACGAAGGTGATGATGATGATGATGATGATGAAACTTTTGGGTTCAACTTTGTTTAAGAAATTTTCGGATAATTTAACTTATTTCAGTCAGTAGCTAAAATAATTCCAAGTAAAACTGAATTCCTTTAAATAGTTGCAAAATATGTAGTCGTTTCAGCCAATCAGAATCCAGTCACTGTATTTTGGGTAGTTACACCTATTTATTCTAAGTCCTGGTAACAAAAGAAACTTGTTGACCATTCACATATTTGTCATATGAATGGATTTTTCAACAACAAAAAACTTGAACACTCCAATAGAAACAATTATTCCTACATACTCTTATAGTGACCAAAAACATAATGATGATAACAAGTCTTGAGTCTTTTAGGCGATAGTTAATTGGAAGTATGAAGTGAACCTGAGACTGAACTGTGATACATTGTACTACTCGCAAAGTTGTCCTTAGGGTAAATGAAAAAAACGAACACTTTGGTAACCAGGTGATTGAAAAAAACATTGTTTTACGTTGACTTAATAAGTGGACAATACAAAATGGTGTTCTATAGAAGGTCGTTGATATCTTGTTTTATTTAATACAACAATTGCTCTTCACTGAAACAATTCATATCTGTCATATTGTAATCAAGCATCGTTATAATTTAGCCTG